CCTACAATCCCCAAACCCCCCAAGCCGCCCCCCAAGGCCTGTAAACCCAGTGGCGAAGGTCGCAGTGAAGAGCACCGAGATGGCTAACCTGGGGTTGGGGTGGGGGAAGTTAGGGTTTAGGGTTTAGGGTTTCGGGTTTAGGGTTTAGGGTTTAGGGTTTGGGTTTGGGGTTTAGGGTTTAGGGTTTAGGGTTTAGGGTTTAGGGTTTAGGGTTTAGGGTTTAGGGTTAGGGTTCAGGGTTCAGGGTTCAGGGTTGAGGGTTAAGGGTTTAGGGTCCGGGCCGGAGGCGGGGGGGGGGGTGGGGGTGGGGGGGGGGGGGGGGGGGGGGGGGGGGGGGGGGGGGGGGGGGGGGGGGGGGGGGGGGGGGGGGGGGAAGGCCTGTGGCTTCGGCTGCTTGGCTTATGGGTTTGGGTTTATTTGGCTTTAGGGATATATTCTAGGGCTCTTAAAGTTTATTTGGCTTTGGGGATATGAAGGGACTCTCAAAGTTGTGGGTTATTAGCCTTTCGGGTTATTGGGGCTCTCAAAGTTTTGGGAAATTCGGCTTTTGGGTTATTAGGGTTCTTAAAGTTTAGGGTTGTTAGGCTTTAGGGTTCTTAGGGTTATTCAAGTTTTGGCAAACGTCCTTCATTGCGGCCCCGAAGGTTTCGGCAGGTTTCCGGGTTATGAGCCTTTCGGGGGGTGGGGAGGGGTGGGTGGGGGGGGGGTGGGGGGGGGGGATAAGAACGTCATTCATACGGCGCCCATGCCGCAAACACTGGTATTTGCAGCTTTTTTGCCTCCGTGTACAACATACTGCACAAGAATGTGGAACAAGACACGTTGCCACAAGCGCCCATGCCTTTCGCGACCATGCCCAAAACACTGGTATTTACAGCGATTTCGCCTCTTCGTACAACATACTGCGCACAAGATTGTGGAACAAGACACGTTGCTACAAGCGTCCACGCCTTTCGCGACCATGCCCAAAACACTGGCATGTACAGCGTTTTTGCCTGTTTGTACACATATCGCAAAAGGACCCGCGACCTCTGAAAAGCGCACGTCCACTTCGTCGAAAAGATTCTTTCGTGCGAAAATCGCGATCGAAAAGCATGAGATTTTTTGGGTGCCATGCGCGTCTCGAAAACATCGCTGTGCGCATGGCTTTCGTGCTGGCGAGCACCGAACCCATGGTGGTTGGCAGTGGTGATTTTGGCAATGCTACAAATGCGTCCCCCGAATGCGACACGCAAAAAACCTCGAGTTTGTTTTTGCGTTTTCCTGCGTCCGACTGCAGCAAGACACACGTAAAATCCAGGACGTTACCAAGTTTTGGGATATTAGGGTTTGGGGCACCCTAACCCCTAAGCCCGAAACCTACTATATAACATGGATATGTAGTAGCGTCGTCAGTTAGCGTCTGGGTCTTCGAGTTCCCAACCTCCTACATCAGCCGTCTAGAAGCATCTCACACCCTCAAACCGGTTTAGGGTTTAGGGTTTAGGGTTCAGGGTTTAGGGTTTAGGGTTCAGGGTTTATAGGGTATAGGGTTTGGGTTTTGGGTTTAGGGGGAAAGGTAACATAAACCCTAAGCCCCAAATCTCGCCGCCCCGGCACGAGGGTAGGACCGCCAGGCAGAGCGCCACCCGCACGTCGAGCTGCCATGCGAGCTTCGGGTCATTAGGGGGCTGAAAGGATTTTGGGTTTGGGGTCTATAGGGTCTGGGTGTTAGGGCTTATTAAAGGCTGCATTTGGGCCTAAGGGCCTGAGTAGATAAGTAATTAGGGCCTAAGCAGAGCCTAGAAGGGCCTAAGCTTGGGGTTAGGAATTTCTGGGTTGGGAGTTTAGGGTTTGTGTGCGCTTTGGGATGCAGGGTTTGCTCACAACTAGAGAAATTCTGCTTGGGGTTGAGACTTGAATTTGGAGTATGCGGGTGACGTTGGGGTTAAGAGATGTTCAGGGTTAAGGTTCCTGTGTGGTACCCTTCTAGGGTAGCAACAGTAGAATCCCCTCTGACTTAGGCAGAGGTGTGCTCTGTAGCAGCAGTCCCCACGGAGATCCTTCGTAAGGATATAGCCGATCCCTTTTTCAATCTTCCTGAGTTCTGCAACCCTAAACCCTTGACCCTAAACCCTAATCTAAACTCTAAAACCTAAACCCTAAACCCCAAACCGAAACCCCACATCCTATCAACCCCCGACAAAAACCACTTTTGAGGCGCCGCACCAGCATGTCGTCCGCACTGTTCCCAGCGACGCTCCGCAAAGGCCGGCCTGTGACTCCCCCAGCTTTGAAGGCAAAGGTTTCGGGTTCGGGGTTTCGGGCTTCGGGTCCAGGATTTAAGGTCCTAAATCCTAAACCCTACACCCTAAACCCGAAAGCCTTAGGAAGAAGGGTTGTAAAGACTTTGGGCTTTGGGTGGCTTCGGTAAAAAGGGCTTTCGGGTTGAGGAATGTTGGGGGCGGCAGCCGCAGGCCTGAGAATTCAAGCTCCAAGGGTTTAGGGTTTATAAGCTTACGATTTAGGGTTTCGGGTTTGGGGTTTAGGGCTTGGGTTTTTTTGAGTTTTTTTGAGGTCGCGGAGTCTTCCCCTACATGCGCCCACAAACTCCCACAACTCCTGTCGTCTTGTTTCAAATGACACACAGGAAGCGCCTACAGAGCACTCGATGTGGGAACTAAACAACCTGTTCTGCTTTGGTTGAGGGCTTCCGAGATTCGTAAGGGCTCAAGGGTGTGGGGTGTGCACGGCGCGAAAGGATTAAGTTAAGTTACCTCAGGGGGTATGAGGTAGGACTCAGCACCCTAATTGGAAACCATTGGAACCATCCAAATTAACTTGAGTTCCTGAACAGCAGCCGAGACGAACTTGCTGCGAGCGTGTGCCGAAAGAGACAAAAAAACAAAGCGGCTCATGACAACCCTACCACAACCACCGAATGTCGCTAAGCGATACCGTGGCACGAGGGGTCCTTGGACCTGGCTTCAATAGTGCATTCGATAGCTCTTCCACCTCTTTTGGATGAGTGCATGGTAGCAGACTTGATGCCCTTTGCGGGCCGATAGGATTTTCTGGACCAGTGTGTTATGTAGGGCGAATGAGGATACAAAGGTGGCGCCCCTGCGTAAAGCCTAAACGTTGTAGCAAGCTAGACCCTGCTCACATGCCATCACTCCTTGGCCCTACACCTCGAAAAGGCCCCGAAGCATAGGTCTGAGAATGCACTTAGGTATATAGGGACCATATAAGGTATGTATATATATATATATATATATGTCATGTAGGAGTTATATAGGGGAATAAGATTAAGGGTTCCTTCTAGGGGTCCCTCCTTTTACCCCTTTGCAGTCCTGTGATCCAGGAGAAGCTGTCATTCGGAGACCGGTCGGCCTGCTTTCTTGGGGTGGGCTGGCTGGCAGTCGCTGGGACTTAGGGTTTAGGGTTCAGGGTTTAGGGATTTAAGGCTTGAATTCCCGGTGCTCTTGTAATCATTGATTTCTGTGCACTAACCTCGAAACGTGTGTGGATTTGGTGGCCCTGAAAAGAACAAAAATCTCTGAGTTGTGACGGGATGTTCAGGGATCATGACCCATAGAACTGAGGGCTCAAGAGGCTAAGAGTTTAGGGTCATGCTCCTGGACCCGTGCCCAATCAAGGGGATTTGTGCTCGAGTTGCCTGTCCGCTCACAAATCATGCCCCACAAGTGCTCGTCTGTCGATTTCGACTATCTACCTACCCACTGGGCAGTGAACCGTTTTCGACTCTAAATTCTGTACAACCTCTGAATCCCCTGAATGCCTAGCTAAGCTGGAAAGCTGCACCAACACACTCAGTCTTTGTCCGTCGAAATCCCTGAGCCGTTTAGGGCTAATACGCCCTAACTAGTGACGATTCCGCAAGTCGCATGATGGCTCCTAATTAATGTGGAAAAACCTTGACAAAGGACATTGGAGCCCCATAGCCCTAAACCCTTTTCCCTAAACCCTAAACCCTAAACCCTGAACCCATTTCCCTTTGATTTAAGGAATAGTCCGAATCAGCAGCATTGGAACCTCAATCCCATTGGCCCACCTCTGCCTCCGTCTGCGGCAGGGGCATCCGGAGCTGCCTGCTTAGGGTTTAGGGTTTAGGGTTTAGGGTTTAGGGTTTAGGGTTTAGGGTTTAGGGTTTAGGGTTTAGGGTTTAGGGTTTAGGGTTTAGGGTTTAGGGTTCAGGGTTCAGGGTTCAGGGTTTAGGGTTGGACTTCTCAAAAGCTATTAAGCCCGAATTCCCACTCCCCCCATCATATACCCCAATAAACCCCGAAACCCTAAACCCCGAACTCAACCCTTAACCCTAAGCCCACCTGAAAATATCGACGAAAATGATCGCCAGCAGGTAGCAGGCACAGCTCACGGTCCAAGGAACAAGCCCGAACCTGGCAAAAAAACACAAAGGGGTTGGGAGTTCCCCTTTAGACTACCAGTCCTGAATAGGGAATATAGTACCCCCCTAGTATAATCCCTCTTAAGGACTGCGGGGAACATCACGAGTTTGGGGTTTGAGGTTTGGGGGTTGGTAGCCTACAAATCGTCAGAGAGAAATCGGCACACAGCTTGTTACACCTTTTTCTTATCGAGTAGATGGTAAACTTGGGCTGGGTTTAGGGTCCACGTGTGAGCGTTGAGTCGCTCAGGCCGGCTTTTCAGGCTCAAGACTCCTGCAGAAGCTCATGGAGCCCTTGTTCATTCCAACTTTGCGAAAACCGCCAGAAAGTGGGGAAACTGACCTCTGAAGCGGTTTTTGGCTCATCACTCAGGATTGAAAAACAAGCCTCCCATGCCCTGAACCAAGATCAGCGCTTCACATTCAAGGTTCACGCTGTGGTCGTGAGAGGGGCCACGTCCGAAAGGAGACTATCCAAACAAGCGGATTACGCTTAATGATGCATCACCCCAGACCCCTTGAAGCACAACCACAAACTGTGTGCTAAGCTGACGCTTCATTCACTCCGGCTCCCAACCCCTACACCCTAAAGCTAAAAAAAGCTCTCCAAAGAATTCCGATGGCGGCCGGTGCACAGGAGGTTCGTCACCACTCTCTGCGCCGGGTCTTCGTAGGTGAGAAAGCAGTAGACGAAGACAGCGCCAGCCTTTGACGAGACCAGGTGGCCCCCAAGTTCCGAGGGGCTTAAGGCTTAGGGTTAAACGGAATGCTTCTTCGGCCTTACAGGCATGTCTGAGGATCTAAACCCTGAGACCACAAAACCCAAATCCGAAAAAACCTGGCTAAAACCTTCACCCTTTATAGTAAAAAGGGGGGGGAGAATAGTATCATGCCAACCTAAGCTACCCGAAGCCCAAAGGCTTGAACCTCAAGCCTCTAACACCACTAGGCCCTAAACCTCCACAAGAGGGAGAATAAACAGAAGTTTTTGTCGGCTTGGGGTCTAGGGGCGTTTAAATTTGCAGGGCTTAAGGTCTGTCAAGTATTTCAGGTTTAGAGGTCTAGACTAGAGTTCTGTGCTTAGGCTTAGGGTCCAAGTAGGAACTTTTAAAGGCTCTTGGCTTCGTGGGGGCTTATGGACTCTGACCCCCTTAGGCTCGGTTCCATGGAGGTTGGCTAAGGGGGCTGTAGTAACACTGTAGTATCCTTAGATTTCAAGTCGGGGTTTGGGGTTTAGGGATTCAGGATTTTGGGGTTCCGGGACTCAGGATATAGGGCTTCAGGATTTGATTCGCAGTTTAGGGTGAAGAGTAGATAAGGCTTTTCGCAGCAGAAATTGCCCGAGCTGCGTAAGCCAAGAGGATGAACACCACAACCCAGCCGGTGCACGGCTTCGCCACCTCACAGGGGCATCTTCTGCGGTGGTGACAGGGGTTAGGGTTTAGGGTTTAAGGTTTGGGGTTTAGGGTTTAGGGTTTGGAGTTTGGGGTTTGGGGTTTAGGGTTTAGGGGCGATAAGCGGGGCTCAAGAAGTTGTACTTCGGGACTTCAGGGAGTTCGGCTTGGGGGTCTTCTTTCCCATCTCGACCGTGTTTCAAAACAAGACTTGGCCCTAAACCCTAAACTAAGAACCCCTAAACCCTAAACCCCAAACCCTAAACCCAACCCTAAACCTCAAACTCTAAACCCCAAAGCCCAACCCTAAACCCTAAGCCCTAAACCCCGACCCCCGCACGGGTGAGGATGCAACGAGGCAAGGCGCGCTCGCAGCTCGGGAACTCATGACCGTTTAACAATTCGGATTTAAGTTTAGGGGCCAGGGAATATACAGTAAGGGGCATGGTCCCGGGTCCATGTGAAAATGTGGATGGCGCTGCCGCTGTGTGGGGAACTCCTAGACTGCCTGGAGTTGGCATGAAGGAACTGCAAACCCAAAGCCCTAAACCCTCAACCACGACACGTATTGGTGCAAGCGCCATTGTTGTGAGTGCTGGGCCCTTCGCCAGAACGGCTTACTCGTTTTGGTAAGGATTGCAGACATTAGGTGCCCACTTGAAGGAATAGCTAGAGTGATATAAGGTACCTGGATCCCTCATGAGCTACTAAGAACCCGAAACCACTTCAGCAGCCAGCCTCATTGCTGGTCACGTAGCCAATGACGGTGCCCACTGTCACCGTTGCAATGGCCGCAAAAAGGAGGGTGAAACCGGCCTTTACAAGCGGGTATTGCTCAAATTTACATAGGGATTCGCATTCAGGGTGTGCGGGGAGGGGGGCGGGGGGGTTGTTAAAAAATTAGGGTCCCCTCTGTTGCACAGGGGAATCCCACAGAATTAGCCCCTCCCCATCCCCAAATAGGGGGCCTAGTTTAGTAAAACGGCATAGGCTTTACGAGTTTGATCGTTTTTATAAGGGAAACCACTGGGCACCCTACAGTAGTAGTGCTGCCCTCCTCCTCCTCCTCGTTATTTCGCCATGGGCGACAGGAGGAAAATTTGGGAACAGGCCATGCGACAAACATGCCATGTGACTACGACTAAGACCCCTAAGGACGAGTCACCGTCAACTGAGAACCCTGCCCAACCCCCTCAAAAACTTTGCCAACAAGCACGGAATAAAACACAAAATATGTCTCACCGCGAAAGCCCCAATCCCAAAAAAAGAGTGCAAGTTCAACGGTTGGCTAAGTAGGCCGTCCTCATCACCTCCACCACTGCAACCCTTCCTTCAAGGCCAGCAGACTCTACTTTGCGGATTCAGGGTGTAACGGGTATAACCCTCAGCTAACTTCAATCCATTCCTTGAAGCCCTAAGGCAAGAAAAAACGGCCTTGAGCCTTGCTTCTCCACCTGAGCGGGTGAGGGTTTAGGGTTACCTGAGTTTGGGTGTTTCAGGGCTTTGGGTGCTGCCTAATCTTGGTGGTTCTCCCTAACATGCAAGGAATCAATTGGTATCCAAAATTGGTGCAAAGAGCATCTGGAGTCTAGGGCTCCGGGTTGAGGATTAATTGGAGTGTAGCCCAAAACCCTAAACCCCAAACCCTATAAAGCCTAAACCCTAACCTGTCTGCCACTGCAGCCTCCGAGTACGGTGAATGCAGTCACTCGAGTGAGGGTGCCTTTGCCATCCAAATGCCACAGCAGCTCTCTATACCTGAAGCCCAATACATCCCAAACACCATCAGAAGTAGCAAGAAAACCCCAAAAACCCCCAATTCCGCAGCAAAGACGTATCCTTCCCAACGTAAGCCCAGCGGCCTGGGTTGTTCTGCTCGCCCGCAGCCTTCACAAAGTCTTGCCAGCGGTCAAAGACATGTCCTGGCAGGGGGGTCCAATAGGGTAGGGTTTAGGGTTTAGGGTTTAGGGTTTAGGGTTTAGGGTTTAGGGTTTAGGGTTTAGGGTTTAGGGTTTAGGGTTTAGGGTTTAGGGTTTAGGGTATTAGAGTTTAAGTTTTATGGGCCCGAAAGCCTAAAGGTGCTCAACCCTAAGCCCTCAGCCACTCATGGCTTTGATGGTCGGCAGCAGCTCAGACGTGAAATCCTACACTCTTAAACCGCCATGACCATACAAGGTTCAGAGTTTAGGTTTTTAGGGGGGGGGGGGGTTTAGAAAGCTCACTTTCACAACCTTCCAGCAGAAAACGGGGTGTTTCCACCCCGTCAGGTATAAAGCGCGCCCTCTGCAAAGCGAAGTCCCCAGCGAGTAGGCGTGAGACCCGAAAAGTTTACATGTTACTCACTTCACTATATACTATGTCCCGAAGGCTCTAAGGAGCCTTATTATGCCCAATGACCATTCTAGTCCATAAATGGTTTCAGAGTATGGATGAGTTCGATAAGAGATGGTGGGTAGGGCCTAAACCCTATACTTCAGGGGCATACGAGGCAAAGCTTTTTTTAGGGTTTAGGGTTTAGGGTTTAGGGTTTAGGGTTTAGGGTTTAGGGTTTAGGGTTTAGGGTTTTGGGTTTAGGGTACCCCAGCAAAGGAGGGCGGGAACTTGTCTCCTTCAATTCGGTTGCGGGCTTCGACCACCCTAAGCCTGAGGGCGCTCAAGCCCAGAAGAGCCCGTAAACCCTAAACCCTAAACCCTAATTAAACCCTAAACCCTAAACCCTAAACCCTAAACTTGGCCCTAAACCCTACACCCCAAAAGCTCGTGCCTCCAAAGCCCTCGACTCCCAGAAGTGTCTCTAGGGAGGCTGAGCTAAGTCCCCGGAAAGGTCTCCTTTGAAGCGGTGGTCAAAGACGTCTTGGCTGACAACGACCTGTCTTACCAGTAGCTTAGCATTTTGGTCTTAATGTTTTAGCTTATTGCCATAGAAGCTCACATGTTTTACTACTTAAAAGGCGTTATTATATCTTACTGTATTGCTTTACCACATTCTTACATCATTGCACGACTTTATGTTACGTTTTCCCCCCAGAGTATTTTATTACGTGGTTGGATTGTTAGTTAATTTGTTACGTAATCAATTACATGATACATGCATAAATACTTGCGGGCCTTGAGTTTAATTGTAAGGGTTTTCAAAGTTAAGCGGTCTGAGCATCAGTCACGAATTCGCATTAAACCGCTAAACCGCAGTTAGACCGATTGGACCCCACACACGGTGGCGGGCCAGTGGCCTTCCATCCACCCCAAGGTTTAGGAAGAAGTCCGGGACATGCGGGTTCAGGGTTTAGGGTTTATAGGGTTTGGTGCATATAAAGCAAATTCTACTAAACCAAAATTACGAACAGAAAATCAAACTTGCGGTCCCCCATGTTGAGGGTCCTGCGTATATCTAGGGTACCAGAAGAAGGTTTAGAGTATTTAGGGCTTTAAGGCATTTAATGAATTCAGAGAACTGCGACTGCGAATGACAACAGAAACGACACAAACCCCATAGGGCATTGCTGCGCAAACCCTAAACGCCCGAATTCAACCCCGAACCCTTACCCCGTAAGCCGTATACTCAAATCCTACCTCGATTCCCTGAGTAGACATTTTCATGCTTGTGTAACCTTAAAAGTGCAATGAATACACATCAATAAAGACATGACTACTCCTAGGAACCATGTTGTATAATCCACAGGGGGCCATGCAACACTACCGGCGAAGAACGCCCAAAAACCGCGTCTCGCAAACCCAACAGTAGGAGTCCTTAGGGCCTGCGGGCTATGCGTACTTTAGGTAGGGGCTTCTAAAGCCGGAACCCAAAAGCCCATGTCGGGTGTTGCGCTAAACTATGTTTCTCGTTGTAACAAGCGAGCCACTACCATGTGGCCGTTCTGCGCTGCCATGAAAAGTGGCGTGGCTCCGTTTGCTGTGACTAGGTCCTTGCCACTTCCAAGTGGCCATTCTGAGCTGCCAAGGAAAGTGGTGTGGATCCACGTGCGTTGGCCAGGGCTGTCTGCGCACCAAACTGCAGTAACAAGCGTGCCACTTCAAGGTGGCCGTTCTGAGCTGCGATGAGAAGTGGCGTGGCTCCGTTTTCTCTGGCCAAGTCCTTGTCCGCCCCGAACTCCAGCAACAAGCGTGCCACATCGATGTGGCCCTTCTCAGCTGCGATGAGAAGTGGCGGCTCCGTTTTCTCTGGCCAAGTCCTTGTCTGCACCAAACTCCAGCAACAAGCGTGCCACTTCCAAGTGGCCATTCTGAGCTGCCAAGGAAAGTGGTGTGGATCCACGTGCGTTGGCCAGGGCTGTCTGCGCACCAAACTGCAGTAACAAGCGTGCCACTTCAAGGTGGCCATGCTCAGCTGCGATGAGAAGTGGCGTGGCTCCGTTTTCTCTGGCCAAGTCCTTGTCCGCACCGAACTCCAGCAACAAACGTGCCACATCCGAGTGGCCGTTCTGAGCTGCGATGAAAAGTGGCGTGGCTCCATCTGTTTTGGCCAAGTCCTTGTCTGCACCAAACTCCAGCAATAAGCGTGCCACTTCCAAGTGGCCATTCTGAGCTGCCAAGGAAAGTGGTGTGGATCTACGTGCGTTGGCCAGGGCTGTCTGCGCACCAAACTGCAGTAACAAGCGTGCCACTTCAAGGTGGCCATGCTCAGCTGCGATGAGAAGTGGCGTGGCTCCGTTTTCTCTGGCCAAGTCCTTGTCCGCACCAAACTCCAGCAACAAACGTGCCACATCCGAGTGGCCGTTCTGAGCTGCGATGAAAAGTGGCGTGGCTCCATCTGTTTTGGCCAAGTCCTTGTCTGCACCAAACTCCAGCAACAAGCGTGCCACTTCCAAGTGGCCATTCTGAGCTGCCAAGGAAAGTGGTGTGGCTCCACGTGCGTTGGCCAGGGCTGTCTGCGCACCAAACTGCAGTAACAAGCGTGCCACTTCAAGGTGGCCATGCTCAGCTGCGATGAGAAGTGGCGTGGCTCCGTTTTCTCTGGCCAAGTCCTTGTCCGCACCGAACTCCAGCAACAAACGTGCCACATCCGAGTGGCCGTTCTGAGCTGCGATGAAAAGTGGCGTGGCTCCATCTGTTTTGGCCCAGTCCTTGTCCGCGCCCAACTCCAGCAACAAACGTGCCACTTCCAAGTGGCCATTCTGAGCTGCCAAGGAAAGTGGTGTGGCTCCACGTGCGTTGGCCAGGGCTGTCTGCGCACCAAACTGCAGTAACAAGCGTGCCACTTCAAGGTGGCCATGCTCAGCTGCGATGAGAAGTGGCGTGGCTCCGTTTTCTCTGGCCAAGTCCTTGTCCGCACCGAACTCCAGCAACAAACGTGCCACATCCGAGTGGCCGTTCTGAGCTGCGATGAAAAGTGGCGTGGCTCCACCTGTTTTGGCCAGGTCCTTGTCCGCGCCCAACTCCAGCAACAAACGTGCCACTTCCAAGTGGCCATTCTGAGCTGCCAAGGAAAGTGGTGTGGATCCACGTGCGTTGGCCAGGGCTGTCTGCGCACCAAACTGCAGTAACAAGCGTGCCACTTCAAGGTGGCCATGCTCAGCTGCGATGAGAAGTGGCGTGGCTCCGTTTTCTCTGGCCAAGTCCTTGTCCGCACCAAACTCCAGCAACAAACGTGCCACATCCGAGTGGCCGTTCTGAGCTGCGATGAAAAGTGGCGTGGCTCCATCTGTTTTGGCCAGGTCCTTGTCCGCACCCAACTCCAGCAACAAACGTGCCACTTCCAAGTGGCCATTCTGAGCTGCCAAGGAAAGTGGTGTGGATCCACGTGCGTTGGCCAGGGCTGTCTGCGCACCAAACTGCAGTAACAAGCGTGCCACTTCAAGGTGGCCGTTCTGAGCTGCGATGAGAAGTGGCGTGGCTCCGTTTTCTCTGGCCAAGTCCTTGTCCGCACCAAACTCCAGCAACAAACGTGCCACATCCGAGTGGCCGTTCTGAGCTGCGATGAAAAGTGGCGTGGCTCCACCTGTTCTGGCCAGGTCCTTGTCCGCGCCCAACTCCAGCAACAAACGTGCCACTTCCAAGTGGCCATTCTGAGCTGCCAAGGAAAGTGGTGTGGATCCACGTGCGTTGGCCAGGGCTGTCTGCGCACCAAACTGCAGTAACAAGCGTGCCACTTCAAGGTGGCCATGCTCAGCTGCGATGAGAAGTGGCGTGGCTCCGTTTTCTCTGGCCAAGTCCTTGTTCGCACCGAACTCCAGCAACAAACGTGCCACATCCGAGTGGCCGTTCTGAGCTGCGATGAAAAGTGGCGTGGCTCCATCTGTTTTGGCCAGGTCCTTGTCCGCACCCAACTCCAGCAACAAACGTGCCACTTCCAAGTGGCCATTCTGAGCTGCCAAGGAAAGTGGTGTGGATCCACGTGCGTTGGCCAGGGCTGTCTGCGCACCAAACTGCAGTAACAAGCGTGCCACTTCAAGGTGGCCATGCTCAGCTGCGATGAGAAGTGGCGTGGCTCCGTTTTCTCTGGCCAAGTCCTTGTCCGCACCGAACTCCAGCAACAAACGTGCCACATCCGAGTGGCCGTTCTGAGCTGCGATGAAAAGTGGCGTGGCTCCACCTGTTTTGGCCAGGTCCTTGTCCGCGCCCAACTCCAGCAACAAACGTGCCACTTCCAAGTGGCCATTCTGAGCTGCCAAGGAAAGTGGTGTGGCTCCACGTGCGTTGGCCAGGGCTGTCTGCGCACCAAACTGCAGTAACAAGCGTGCCACTTCAAGGTGGCCCTGCTCAGCTGCGATGAGAAGTGGCGTGGCTCCGTTTTCTCTGGCCAAGTCCTTGTCCGCACCAAACTCCAGCAACAAACGTGCCACATCCGAGTGGCCGTTCTGAGCTGCGATGAAAAGTGGCGTGGCTCCATCTGTTTTGGCCAGGTCCTTGTCCGCACCCAACTCCAGCAACAAACGTGCCACTTCCAAGTGGCCATTCTGAGCTGCCAAGGAAAGTGGTGTGGATCCACGTGCGTTGGCCAGGGCTGTCTGCGCACCAAACTGCAGTAACAAGCGTGCCACTTCAAGGTGGCCGTTCTGAGCTGCGATGAGAAGTGGCGTGGCTCCGTTTTCTCTGGCCAAGTCCTTGTCCGCACCGAACTCCAGCAACAAACGTGCCACTTCCGAGTGGCCGTTCTGAGCTGCGATGAAAAGTGGCGTGGCTCCATCTGTTTTGGCCAGGTCCTTGTCCGCACCCAACTCCAGCAACAAACGTGCCACGTCCAAGTGGCCATTCTGAGCTGCCAAGGAAAGTGGCGTGGCTCCGTTTGCTGTGACTAGGTCCGTGTCCGCACCTGCTTCGAGCAGCAACTTTGTGGCGACTTTCCTGTCAGACCTAGCCGCAACATGTAAGGCTGTCACCATGTTGCGCTGCGACGTTCGGTTTGGATCTTGGGGTCGCTGCAAGATTGTTTCTAGTTGTGTCGTGTCGTCTGCTTCCACTGCATGGAGCAGCCTGCCGATATCATCACGAGAGGTGTCGGCAAAGTCCAGAATTACCAGGTGCAATAGGCAAGGTGCTTTCAGAACCGCCTCTTCGGGCAAAATATGCCCGTCTTCTTGCAGCAGCCGTTGTCGAAACCGGGGATGCCCACAGAGCCTTTGGAGACGGAGCTTTACGGCACGCACGTGGACCTTAGTGTCGCCGGCAATACTCAGCAACTCCTCCGGCTCCAGGCAAGCCACCTCTTGCCCAGTAGCCATCATCTGAATCCGCAACATTGCTGCAACCTTGAAGCGGGATGTCGGACTTCCTCAACACCCACCCCGGCCCCTGGACCCAAGGGCTTAAGGTTGGTTGGTTAAGGGTTTAGGGTTCAGGGCTTAGGGTTTGGAGGTTTTTTGGGTTTTAAAGGGTTATGTGCCTACTTTGAGGTGTGAGGCCATATGACTGGCTATAACCCCAAATAACGCTTGAGCATGTGCAGTCGCTGACCACGAGAGCGGGCACAAAAGGATTCGTACTCGCTAGAAATGGGAGGGTGTCAAAATCATGGGCCATTCCGGAAGATCTCTATCATAGAATTCTCCTTAATCCCTAAACCCCCATCCAAATGCGTCCATTTGGAAGATGTGTTAGGGCTTTTTTCGGGACTCCGGGCGCAGGGTTCAGGCTCAGGGGGTGGGAATGGACACGTCGCTTAGTTTAGGGTATTTTGGGGGCAGCGTTCAGGGTGTTGGGTGACTTCCCGGCCATTTCTGCTTGAGGTATGTTGGCTGGCAAGCTGATTCGGTCGGAGCGCGAAATAGCCTCTAAAGAGTTCCGCCAGGAAGGGTTTCTAGGGCTTGGCCCTCCTAGGTCAAATCCTGTTTGGGATTTAGGGTTTAATGGGGTGAAAGGTTTAGGGTTTAGGGTGATGTAGGGTAGCTGGGGAGCCCTAAGCCCTAAACCCCCGTGCTGCCACATTATCCGCGCACGACCGCAGGACAACACCCGTCGGAAGCTGTGGGAAATGGGAGCAGGCCTTTGGCTTCGTGTTGCGCGTTGGCTGATGTGGGGGTTTTCCAGAATTGGGTCCCCTATAAGCCCTTAACCCTAGCGACCCTACACCCCCTGCAGACCCTAAAGATCCTCCTATAGGCACTATAGACCCTAAACCCTTTTTGCTGAGGGGGAAGTCG